TTGGGGTTTTTTTCACCCTAGAACAGGGGTCCTCAAACTTTTTAAACAGGGGGGGCCAGTTGGAGAGTGCGCACTGTGGGCCCGGGACGAGTCGGCTGCTAAGCAGGACAGGCAGCGGTGGCAAAAACACCCAGCAGGGCGGATAAATGTGCTGGGCGGCCCACATGTGGCCCGAGGGCCGTAGTTCGAGGACGCCGTGGCCTAGAGTTCAGGGTGTCCAGAGAGCAAGGGGAGTCATAGCACAGTTTTAAACGGGAAAGCGACAAGGCTGAACTGTGCATTTGAAAAGTTGTCTCGGCTTCCTTGTGGCAGCCAGGGGAACGTTCAGGAAGCCTTCCTGTGATCCAGTAGTGGCGGGGAAGGTCAGAGAGATGGGGGGCTAGATGCAGCAGGCCTTTGATGAAAGTTTGGATATAAGGAGAACGGGGCGACTGCCGGGTCTCTGGCTTGGGCAGCTGAATGATCAGAGGGTGGCATCTTGTACTGCAGTCTGGAACCAAGAAGGACAGACTCTTGCAGGGAGTGTGTTTAGTTTTCAATGTGTTGAGCATGCAGCTACTGTAGAATATTTCCAAATAGAAATTTTTAGGGGGCAAAACGCTGATCTGAAGTTCCTGAACCTTGTTCTTCTCAGCTGTACTGAGAGGTTTACGGCCACATTTAAGTCCTGCAAGCTTCACCTTTCTTCGTCTGTTTCCTCATCTAAAATGAAAAAGGCAGACGAGATGATCTCCGCGAGCTCTTCAGGCTTAAACCTTCCTGGGACACTGCAGGTCCTTGTTTTTAAAGGGATTAGAGCAGGCGTCGTGCTCAAACTAAGGCCCGCGGGCCACATGCGGGCGCCTAGCACATTTATCCGGCCCTCTGGGGTTTTTGCTTTTGCAGCCGCTGCCTGTCCTGCTTAGCAGCCCATAGGGCTCCCTCTCCAATGGTCTGAGGGACAGTGAACTGGCCCCCTGTTTAAAAAGTTTGAGGACCCCTGGATTAGAGGGTGGATTTAGACGTTTTCTAGTCCTTATTCTTCGGAATCCAATTTGAGCTCTTCTGGGTTGCACGTTCTCATGCTAAGCAAAAGGCCTCTGCAGATGCATATTGTGAGCCCTAGACAATGTTATCCGTGGAAGGTGCAAAAGGAGAAAAGATCTGGCCAGATTTGGTGCAATGCGAAAGGATTTGCAATGGCCACGCGAGGAAGAGGCCCCTAGCCTCTTGATCTGCCCTCTCTCTGCTTGCCGGGGGCCTGCCTCAGCCTTGGTAGTCAAAAAAAGCCTTTTTTTCTCAAGAGGAATCGCACCTCCTCCCTGAACTCCAGTTTATCCCTATGGGCCTTGGGCTGCAATCTTTTTTTTTTTTTTCCTTCCTAGCCTTCCCCATCCTAGGAAGTTTGAGCAGGTTGGCCAAGGACTTGGGAAGGTGGAAGCCATCAGAGCCTGGGTGCTCCCCCAGCTGGGACGGCTCATTCAGGGCTTGGTGCAAAACGTGTCTCTCTAGCTTTGGTAATTTTCTCAAGACGGCATTAGCAACCCAAAAGTGCACAAATGCAAAACAAGCTCATTCTGCTTGATACCCTCTTCCATCAAAGGAGCGTGTGCATGTGTTAAAAGAGAATTCTCGGCCTCATGTTGAAATGTAGGTTGATCCCAGCCTGGTCGGGCTACGTGTCTCTTGACATTTACAGTAGCTTCCTTCATGAGGGAGGAAAGAGATGGATACCAAGATGTGTCAAGGGGTTTATAGAGTGTAAGTTCACCCTAATGTCTTGCAGGCCTCTGCTTCAGCCCCTGCGGTAGTACCGTATTACTCAGCAACTTGGAGTTTACTAGATTTCCGAGCAAATCCTTTATTCTGCTGGGCTAGGTTTTGTGGGCTTGTTAATCAGTGAATTGTGTCTAAGCATCAATATAGACCTAATGGGAAGTAATGCTTTATAGGATAAAAATGTAGAAAGGTCTGGAAATGATAAATTCCACCAGGTAGCTGAGATTGAAACCTGATTACACCCTCTCTCCATTCCTTAAAAGACATACTTATTTCATTTATAACATTTTCTAAAGGAAGGGGCCGGGCGCGGTGGCCCACGCCTGTAATCCTAGCACTCTGGGAGGCCGAGGCGGGAGGATCGCTTGAGCTCAGGAGTTTGAGACCAGCCTGAGCAAGAGTGAGACCCCGTCTCTGCTATAAATAGAAAGAAATTAGCGAAACAACTAAAAATAGAAAAAAATTAGCCGGGCATGGTGGTGCATGCCTGTAGTCCCAGCTACTCGGGAGGCTGAGGCAGGAGGATCGCTTGAGTCCAGGAGTTTGAGGTTGCTGTGAGCTAGGCTGACGCCACGGCACTGTAGCTGGGGCAACAAAGTGAGAGTCTGTCTCAAAAAAAAAGGAAGCATCCCCTGATCAAGTGTTAGGCAGGAAGATGAGGAACAACCACAGGGTGCAGGCCAAGCATGTTCCACTGAATATCTGTTTGCATCAATAACATGGGCTAGAGCTTCGTGTACTAGTGCTTGAGACTCTCTTGGCTTTTTTAAAAGGCTTTTGTACATCCTAAAATAGCCTGGTAGCTAAAATAACAACAACAGTAATAGCTTGCCGTTCCTGAGAATGGTTGTGTAAAATCCAAGGCATGGGCTCTGGCCGCAGCTAGTTTCCACGAGCTGGGCTCCCACCAGACTCGCTCTAATGGAAATCACATGGTTTCATCACGACAGGAAATGCAGGGATCTGTTAAGCTTCCTCCTCTCAACCCCTCGGTGGTGAGGGCTTTCCTAAGCCTTGGGCTGCAGATACCCGCACATCCTAGAACTTGAAGTGGGTGGTGTAGACCTGATCTTTTTATTTTATTTTATTTTATTTTTTTGTTGAGACAGAGTCTCACTTTGTTGCCCAGGCTAGAGTGAGTGCCGTGGTGTCAGCCTCGCTCACAGCAACCTCATTCTCCTGGGCTCAAGCGATCCTCCTGCCTCAGCCTCCCAAGTAGCTGGGACTACACACATGCGCCACCATGCCCGGCTAATTATTTGTATATATATATTTTTAGTTGGTCAATTAATTTCTTTCTATTTTTGGTAGAGGCGGGGTCTTGCTCAGGCTGGTTTCGAACTCCTGACCTTGAGCAATCTGCCCGGCTCGACCTCCCAGAGTGTAGACCTGATCATTTTAAAGAGGCTTATGGTGCTATTGCTTCCCTGCCCGATTAACAACTATCAGTCAACCTTTATGGTCTAGTCCAGGGGTCCTCAAACTTTTTAAACAGGGGGCCAGTTCACTGTCCCTCAGACCGTTGGGAGGGCCGGACTATAGTTTAAAAAAAAAACTAGGAACAAATTCCTATGCACACTGCACATATCTTATTTTGAAGTAAAAAAAAAAAAAACCAAATGGGCAAAAACACCCACATGTGGCCCGGGGGCCGTAGTTTGAGGACGCCTGGTCTAGTCTCTCCACCCTAAATATTTGGGCAGTCTATATTCCCATCAGCAAATCCAAGCAGGAACGTTTATCTGCCTGTTGAGAAGAGAAAGACAGGGAGGCCAGCCAGCCACAGTGTATCAAACCACACTATTGGGATCGTCCTGTATCTGGAAATGAGCAAAGATTGCCCTTCGAGTGGACAGTCATCGGTCCCTACATGTCTGTCCCGTGATACTCTTGCCTCGCAGGCTGGCAGTGCAAACCCCCACCAACCCCCTGCCCACAAGATCCACATACACCCACAGCCTCTGCCCCTTTCTAGTTGCTTCCATAGAGTAATCCCCAGGTCACACCTAAAACAAAGCAGTTTACTGTTTGTAAGCCCCTGTCCTTGTTAAAATTCCTACCTAGAACCCGAGTTCCAGAGATGGGAAGGATCAGGGCGACAGCAGCCTAGAAGAAGAGCAGCAGGTCCTTAGGTGGTGGGATGGCACATGGAGTGACTCTGTTCACCTTGGGTCACGTGCACCATAGACGTTCTGGAAAGTTCTGAAAGGTGGGGTGGGGGTATCCTAATGACTTTATTGGGTCACCTTTTCCTGTCTCCCTCGGCAGTCCTGGCTAGCATCCCTGGCATACTTGATTTCAGATTTTGACAGGTGATAAAAGCACGCACCGAGATTGCTGCTTCGCAGGGTCGGAATTGGTAACTATTGACCGAGGTTATTTTTGCCTTCCTGGAGAAGCTCCCTCATGTGTTTGCTGTTACAGTTAATGGATTGCTTCCTGATTCACGCGGCGGCCCCTGCGCTTGCCCTTCATTCTTGCAAACTGCAGCTTGGCCTAGGTGGAGTTGGAGCCGCACGAGAAACATTGAGACGGGGCAGTTGGCGACATAACTTATTCCCCCCACCCCACCCCTGAAAACATAAACAGCAACGAAATGTTCTTGTTTGCATATTCCACTTTAATCAGGATACTAAAAGCTTTTTCAATCTCATTCTCTGGATTTTTAACATCTCAAATGTCCTGTGGTCCCAGGGTTTGGCCTGTACTTCTCTGGGCTGGATGGGAAATGTTTGCTCATGATTGATTTGTCAACAGTAATCATACTAATAAGCAGGAAGGTCTTGCAGTTCTTCTGGTCTGTCGAAGTCCTGCCATCAAGCCATTGCTCTACCAAAGGCTCTGCGGTGCATTCTCAGGGGATATCTTTTATCGGTTCTTTCCCTTTTCCTCGGAGACCCACATTTTGGGTTTTGTGCAGGAAATTCCCACTGTTCTTGGTTTTCCCCGGCCACAGCTGGAGAAAGACATCAAGAGTGTCCAAATTAGAGCCCAGGCCTGAGATCTCAGCAGGCCAGACAAGGCAGCAAATGCTTGTTGCTTTTTTTTTTTTTTTTTTTTAATTGTGCATTATCTATTCCCTTGCATAGCATTTGGGGGGGGGGACCAAAGATCACAGGTTGTTAAAGGACGAGAGTCACTTCTGACATTGAACGGGGCTCGGGGTTGTTGGGTGTTTTGTTTTCTGATTGGAAACTAGCTGTTTGATGCCTACTAACTCTCGCCTTATTCTTTTCTTGCAGATGAGCTCACAGTGCCTGCACTTTACCCCAGTAGCCCTGAAGTGTGGGCCCCGTACCCTCTGTACCCAGCGGAGTTAGCGCCTGCTCTACCTCCTCCTCCTTTCACCTACCCCGCTTCACTGCATGCCCAGGTAATTTATGCCCTTCGCCCACGACTTCACTCCCTCCTCCACCGGTCCTTCCGAACCTGGTCCCCCAGAGCACAGCGTACGACTAACACCTATCCAGCTAACCAGACCCACCTTCGAGACATTAATGACCCCCCCTCTAAATCAAGCTGCCACCCCTCCGGGACTTAAGAGGATCGTCTGACAGCAGCAATGACATCACCCACTGCCTGATGTTTGCCCCAGATCGACACCTCTCTCTTCCTTAATGATCTCACCGTCATGTCACACACGAGAGACTGGGGCAAGGGGACCCTCCCGCCCCACCCCACCCCACACCCCGGGCTCCCAGCTAGCTAGAGAGAGTTGTCACCAGAGTGTTAGACGTGTGTGTCTTGTCGTGCGGAGGGAGGCATGCAGCAGCCGTGACGGGAGTCACGTGTGTCTCTGTGTGTTTCTGTGTATCGAGAAGTTTCTGCTCTCGGGTTCGGTGAGAATCTAGTGACCAACAGGGGAAGCTTCCGGGGGAAGACCATGCATTTTCTTACATACGTTACAGGAAAGATTAAGGATTCCTTTCTTCCGTTTTTAAGAAACTATGTAGGAAAGGAGGTATAATGTAATGTCTAGGCTGTAATTACAGGTCAAGGTAAACAAGTCTGTTCTGACCAGCTTGCTTTCTTAGTTAAGAATAGCCTGAGTTTTATAAATACACTCCCTGTTTCTCCACCAAGATTACTATCTACCTACTAACGCTTCCTCTCCCCTCGGAGCAAAGGTTTCGCTTAGCTTTGCTTTTAGTGCAGGCAGTGTAGCGGCCAATGTAAAGATTCTCCTTTGGAGGTAACTACTTATTCTTTGGCCTGCAAAGATGGATAACCAGCAGCAAATACGTAGGAAGTACATACGTAGATATCCTTTGTCTCATGCATGTGCACTTCAGCCTCATTCTTTAAAAATTGGCTAGACAGGTGGGGTTTCCATTTGTTCGTTTTGCTTAATGTTTATCTACAAGGCTGGATGGGACAAACAGCTTCCCAGAAAACTGGTCCTTCTTACTTAAAACTCTTTTAAGTCGTACGGAGCTCACTATGTTGACTAAGATCCCCGCAGACAGCTCCCAGCGAAGGTTCTCGAAAGCCGCAGGGTCAGGACTGTTGGGTGAACATGGTTTCCCTCTCTGTGGCTGAGCTACCAGTGAGAGCACTAGCGACCCGGCTTCCTGGGGCTGCCCTCCCTCCTGTTCAGGCACCAGGCGGTCACAGTACAAAGAGAAACCCCTGGCGTCTGGGCCCGGTAGCCATCGCCCTCCGTGTTGGGCGCAGGAGGGAGAAAAGTCCAGAGTAGTCAAGAAAAACTGGAGACGGCGGTGAGAACACTTGGCACAGAAAGTAACTTGGATCATTTGTAGATGACACGGATGGACTAAGTGTCGCTTTTGTTCTCCGCACCCCATCACTGGGTGACCTGTCGCCTCTTGCTAGAATGCCCAGGTACGCTGGCAATTAATTAAGGCAACTGTTAATAAATACCATGGAACAGTGCAAGTTTGCACAGTCTTCTGAATGTCCATGGCTTTGATTAATGAGCAAAAAAGCCTTTTACCATCAAGAGCTGACATGGCAAGACAGGATAGGCCAATGGTGGCTTTTGGCCATGACATCCGCCCTTGCTTCATTCGTGTAACGGATGAATTCAGAAGTAATTCTGGGGATACAGTGGGAAAAGGACCTAAAGTGTCTAAAGAGATTAGAAAGCCTGTATCATTGTAAGGAGACATGAGGAGAGACAGTTCCAAGACTAGATGGACTCAGCCATTTGACTTAAAATGGGGTGCGTTGCCCATACTGGCGCCTTCCCCCCTGTTGAGTTCGTCCTTGATCTTGAGACTTCCCAACCTGGAATCCACCTGGCCCTGCCAACACCGGTCCTAGATTTGGTGGAACTCTCATCTGCTATCAGTGAGGTCCACGTGTTCAACCCCACTTCTTCTTCGGAAGTTAATCCCAGTGCAGTCTTGGACTCTGTATCCTAAAAGTTTATGAACAAATGTGGTTGTTTAAAATGTGTCTGTCCAATAGGAGAATCATAGAGTTGGTGAACTGGGAGAGTTTTTACAGATCAGCTGGTCTGACCCATTTTACAGATGAGGAAACAGACCGGAGAAGATGGAGTTACCCAAAACACAAGTGGCTCTACCATGACTAGAACAGGCCACACCTGACTCCCAGGCCTTGCTCTTTCTGCTCAGAGGGGGCTGGCTCCCCAAAGACTTGTTCTTTGATGGAATTTTGGAAAGGCCTCACTCCAGAGTGACCACTTGGACCCTTCTTCTCTAAGTAGATGGGAAGCCTGTAAGAAGAGACTTGGAGGAAAATACAAGGGGATCCGCACTTAACCTTCACCCAGAGGGCCTAAGACAATATTAATCGGACGTAGAGCAGAGAGGGCCCAAATGGAACATCTCCCCTTAGTGGATAATTCCAGATTTTGTTTCGGAAATTCTATAATGTCCTTTGAAGAAGCTTTTGAAATAATTTTGCTTTCCTTAGCAATGTTGTGCTCTGTTTTGAGACATGGATTTTTTTTTTCTTCTAGTGTTTCTCTCCTGAGGCAAAGCCCAACACACCTGTCTTTTGTCCACTTCTCCAGCAAATTAGATTTGTCTCTGGGAATGTGTTTGTAACATATCAACCTCCTACAGACCAGCAGAGGGAGCTCCCATGTTGAATCTGTTCGTTAGCTACTTCCCCCCCCCGCCCCCACCCCTACTTTTGCAAAAACTATTTCTTGGCGACGTGTGAGATTTCAATAAAAATTTTAATCAGAACAAAAATGATCTCAAGCAGACTGCAGCGTTTTTGTTTTCATGGTGATGCCATGTTGGAGCTGTAAGGTGGTTGATCTCTGACTGAGATTCTGGGAGAAGTGGGCCCTTGTCACTAAGTGTACCTTACATAGGAAAAGACTCAGAGCATCCGGGGGAAGCTAGACTGCAGAGCCGAGGGCTCGATGCTGCCACCTGTCTCTTCTTGGGCTCCCGGATGAGCCGGCAAGCACCGCATTCTGGAAGATTCTCATTCCAGCCTCTACCAGTCACCCACCAGGAGATCTTGCTCCGGCAGGGACGGTGTGTCTGGCCCACGTGAAACAAACGGTGGATGCGTTTCCCAGTCTGCCCACTGTGGTCCAGAGGAAGGAAGACCCAGGAGACAGAAACTGCCATTGAAATGGAGTGGAGTCACATGTCTAGCCCTGCCCCAGCTTCCCGCGTGGTCTGGTGCCCCTTCAGATTTCCCAGGTCTAAATTGAAGATCCTTATTTGCCATCAAATCCAACTTTTTAGAAATTACCGGGTAAGGTAATAGGACTGTATGTAAACCCTAGTACTGCCTTATTTTTAGAAGTGAAAGAGCAACTCTGTCCAGCAGACATCTGATTTGTAAGAAGGTCATTACCTTTTTCGAAGTGATCTTCTGGTTTATTTTCAAGGTCATTGGTATTTGAAATTTACTAAATACTGTTCATTGCGTAAGCCACTGTGGATAGGAGAAGAAGGTTCCATCCATTGCTTTCAGGAAGGTTACAGTCCGAAGAGCATACAGCTGGCTGTTCCTGTCACCTCACATTCACACACCTCCAGAGGCTTTGTAAGTCTGGGTTCATTGTTTGCATTTAGTCTTTCTGCTGATGGGGCAGAGAGGAAGTCTCGAAAATGTGCCATCCTTGCTACATTCTCGAGTCGGAGTTACAGAGTTGGGCAGAAACTTTGGCAGGTAAGTAGGACTGAGAAGGAAAGTCCTGGTTACCTGTCTTCTGTGTCAAAGGCCTCATCTGCCCCGAGTGACAGTGGCTCTTTCAGAACCCTTCCGGGCTGCTATACATCCCTGTATGTAAACAGTTTCCCAATCGTTCCACAGCCTTCCTGCGTGCCCCTGGGGAGGTCCCTTGTGACACACTGGAAAAATTTTTAAAGGTTAAACCCAAAATAAATACAGAAATGGACCATGGGAAAAGAGACATAAGCAAACGGGGCTGGCAGATCACAGAGAGCAAGATGGCCAAGTAGCGTGTGGACCGTCTACACTGCAGGACTGACCCCACCGCCACCGTGTTTAAGCAGTTACTCCTCAGCAGGGTGCAACTTCTAAGAACTGGATTGTAAAAAAAATTAAAAAAAAAACACAAGTTTCCTTAAGCACGTTTGTGCCTAACTATGCCCTGTACAGAACACCGAGGTCAAAGGCACAAGGGCTCCTGGTTTGGCTTGGGGTGTGTGTTAAGTACTTAGAGCGAGAGGAGCGGCAGGGCTACGTGTGGACTCTCAGGGAAGTCCCCAGTGGCACTGCAGCTGTGTGTCCCGTCCCTGTGCGTATGGGACCCACGTGACAAGGACCCCTCTATTCTTCAGCTTGTCCCTCCAGTGTGGAAGGCAGGAGCCGGTGCTGTAATGGCAACGGCTGCTCCTGTAGGGGGAGCCCGTGAGCAAGCCATCTCTGGGACCCCGGGAAGAGGCTTGTACACCTCACCTGCTGGCCTCCCCCAAAAGGGGAGACTGGGGACACTGTAGCTCTCTTTGCTCCTGTGAATCCCAGGTCACATTAGCACTTGAAGGCCTGGGTTTTCCAGAGGTATGTTGTCGTCCTCCAGCGCTGAGGTCTTTGAAGGGCTGCAGAGGCGGCCTTTGGGCTGTTCTGCCCCAGGCCCTAAATGGCACCGTGCCCTCCCCCATCCTCAGGAGCCCGGTCGCCTTCCCTCGGCCGCTCCCGTGGGCTAGGTCTGTGCCTGCCCTGTGAGCTGGTCCCTTCGGGAGACCGCCAAGGTGCAGCCGGCCACACGTGGGCTCTGCCATTGGCGAGCTGTGCAACCCTGGTGGAGCCAGTTCCTTAACCTCTCTGGGCTTCAGGAAAATGGGGTTCATCACCCCTCATGTAAAAGGCTTCTAAGAGTGCCCGGCGTGCATTATAATAAAGGATTAGTAAATGTTAGCTTTAAAAAAAAACAAACAGCCCTTCCCAGGGGCCTTTTAAAAGGAGCATTTCAATTTTAAACAAGGAGATTAAAGCCCAGGACTAAGTCCACCCTACCCGCAAGGCAGCGACAGATAAAACACGCAGCACACTTCGATGGCACTAATGGGGGCTGCAGAGTCCTCATGGCTGTGGCCAAGGAAAGCCAGAGGCTGGAAAGAAGGCTCAAAGGACAAGAGAGCAAGAGGAGGCATTTAAGTGGCAGAGTGCCACCTACATCCCCAAGTGACAGCGTGTGCCCAGCGGCAACCAGTGTGGCCTCTGCAGCTTGTGCCGGCCCTGGAGGAGCTTTTCCCCCAGGCCAGGCCAGGCCTTCCAGAAGAAAGCCTGTCTCCCCCTGGCAGGAAGTGCATGCAGATCGGGAAGCAGCTGCAAGCCCAGAGAGATGGAATGGTCCTTGGGAGTCGCTTCATCCCGGCCCGCTGGCCCTGAACTTTCCAGCTGCCGCCTTATCTTGCTTTCCTGTCTGAGAAACCGGAGAAGAGAGAGACCCACAGGTCACCCGGCCCACTCCTCCCAGGACGCTCTGGCACTTTCTTCCCATAGCCGTTCCACTAGGATTCCCCTCCGCCTCGTGTCCGGGCCTTCGAGTTACATCTCGTGCTTTGGGGAGATAATTCGCTTCCTTGTCCTGCAACTGGAACCCCCGGGGATCCCACTGGTGGCCAAGCAAACACTTTCCCGGAGGCCCCTCTCTGCCCCTCTCCGCCCCTCTCCTTCATCTGCTGTTGGGTATTTGCAGAACTGGCCCTTTAAGTAGGGCAGTGGGAGATACCCTGGCTGTGTCCTTACCAGCCTGTTCAGAAGCCGTGCACAATCAATCATTCATTCATTCATTCATTCATTCATTCATTCATTCGTCCATCCAGAGGGCTTGGGTAGTTGTTCCTTTGGCCAGAGCTGCTGCTGCTGCTATTGAGGCCCAAATCTCCCATACTGGGCAGGTTTAGGAGCAAATGATATTTAGAAATCAGAGTCAATCCCCCTTGTGTGTGTGGCTCTGGCCAGGGTCACTGATTTCAAAGGGACTTCCTAGAAATCCCGGTATTATTGCCAGGATTGGGAAAATAGCTCAGAGTGGGCCTCAGCTGGGCGCGGTGGCATTACTCATCTGGTACCGTGTTCTCCAGGTTTCTTAAGCGTGTTCCATTTTGTCCTCTGTGTAGGGCCAAACCCCTTAGAGCAGGGGTCCTCAAACTGTTTAAACTAGGGGCCAGTTCACTGTCCCTCAGACCGTTGGAGAGTGCGCACTGTGGGCCCGGGACGAGTGGGCTGCTAAGCAGGACAGGCAGCGGTGGCCAAAACACCTGGAGGCCCGGATAAACGTGCTAGGTGGCCTGGTAGTTTGAGGACGCCTGCTAGATCCTGCTCATGTTCTCACCTGACCTTATTAGCTGAGTCTCAGCGAGTCGCATCTTGTAAGTACCGTCTGTGAGCTCACCTCCTCTTGGGATTAAAACTTGTGTCCTTTACAGGGACACAAAGGGCCTGGCACCTAATTGGTGTTTTAAAATCAAGCAAGATTTTAATGGGTTTTCCCCCACTCTGCTAAATTTGGGATTTTTAAGCAGGTTTTTTGTTTTTTTTTTTTAATCTTTAACCTCACTGAGCCTCAGTTTCCCCATCTATAAATTCAAAGAATAAACACCTATTTCTTGAAGTTATTTTGCACGAAAGAGTCAGATGCTTGGCCTAGAGGAGTAGTTACTATTACAACAGCTCTTCCGCCACCTTCCCTTGTCAGAACTTGATCTGGCCTGGCCCAGACCTTCCTGAACCTTCTGTAGAAGCTTCAGAAGTGCTTAAGACACAGGACTCAAGACCAGGATCCGGACAAGCGGGGTGCCCAAGCTTTCTTCTTTGGTAAATAAGAGAAGCAGCTGGAACCTGGGCAAGAATGGCCTGTGGCTTGTGGCATGTACCGAGACGTTGGCTGTAGTTGGGTCAGCCGGCCATCCAGGATTCTTGGCCTCTTTCCCTGGGCTTGGGCACCCAGATTCCTTCCGAAACTATGCCATTTAGAAGTGCTTTGCAAACAAAACCAAGGCTGCAGAGAAACTTTGGAATTACCAAACGAAGCCTTGATAAAAGGAGAAAGTGAACTTTTTTCCTTGAAGAAAACCAGTTGTGACGGGCAGAAAGGAAACTCAACTCCAAATGGGATCATGTTTTATTCAGGATTTGTGCTGCCAGTGGGGGACGCCAGAACCCGGCGACAGGATGGGAAAGTGGGACGCCCCAACTGCAAGCTTCGTGCGTTCTGCCACGGAGTTCCGCTCGCTTCACTGAGCTCAGCTCCCGGGGACCTCTAATGGCCCTTGATAGCAAACAGAGTTAAAAATTAACAGGCTGACAAAATTAAATATGGATGACAAGCAGCCACTGTGGACTTAATCTGACACAGGGTGTTACGCGCTTGGGTGCCCTTAACCGGAGTGGCGTCTTGAAGAACTTCTGAGATGTCTGAGCACATTTCGCATGCCTCTTTGGAAGCAGGAGCCTGGGTTGTGCTCAGGACAGACAGGGAGCGAGTGTTTAAAAGCTCCAGAGAGAACATTCCACCCTGCAGGTTTGTGTTTAATTACACCCAGCCTTGATCGGACTTGGCAGGAGGGGTTCACGGTCGACCTTGCTCTTGGGGTCTAGACCTTGTGCCTGCCCAGGCTGGGACCTCAGCAATCCCTGCTCCTTACTTGCCTATTTCTTCTGCAGGAGTTGGGCTGGGTGAGATGGCATTAGACCCGGTCACATAAATCTGGACATTTTGCCTAGATGATACCGGCTTGTTTAATTGCCCTAGGCAAGGAGTGTCACATGCGAGACAAGCAGTGAAGAGAGCTGACTGTGTTTCATGCCCTGTCTGCTGAGCCATGAGTATGGGCCACCACTTCTGGGAGGTGACAGGGACAGGAGTGTCTGTCACACGGTGGTCCTCATTGCACGCAGCAGAGAAGTTTCTGAAGCATTCTTCTGGTTTGGGTGGGTGCCTTATTAGGAATGGAGAAGGGGTGCTGTTCAGAAGAACCCTGTAATTCGTGTTATAAAGAGGGTGATCTTTTTGTGTCATAAATCATCACTCCAGCCTATTTGGTGTGTTTGGAGTTTCTTGAACCAGATATGCTTGGGTCTTGCCAACTCGGCCTCAACCTGGCTGGCTTTGACAGAGCTTGCTGTAGGGCCCGACTCGCTTTATTTGGTGATGCTACTCACAAGTGGATCCTGAGGTCTGGAGTGAGCCGGGCAGCGTTGATGGCAATAAATCAGGGTGTGAGTGGTCGCTGCAGTTGGCTCAGAGTTGGGGCAGGGTATATTTAGGGCCCTGTTTGGCAGAAAGTGGTAGAACTTGCCTGAGAATATCCATGCCTTAGAAACCAATGAATCCATTCATTGGAGGGAACATTCTGTCATTCACATGATCAGTTGAAATTGACTGTTTTTAACCATCGTGTTCGCAGAGGGATAGCTTAGTTGTGAATATAGTGCTGGGGAGATCAGTATTCGTGTTTAGCATCTGTGTTAGGAAAAGTTCAGAGAAAATCTCAGCACCAGCCAGTTTGGTGATCTTCCAGCTCTGATTAGTTTCTTTAAGAGCTGGAAGCCTGGATAGTATGTAGGGGCACACCGCAGACTGTCAGATTCACCGCCGGGAGGGGCCTGCCAGACCAACATTTTGCGACACCCACAGGTATTGATAGTTGTTACATAATAAAAAGATTTCTGCAGTCAGATAAACTTAGGAAATCCAGGGCTAGATCAGGTCTCATAGGTTTCTTAATTTCAGGACTTCTCAGAGCCTTTAATGTGCTGATATGTGTCAACAGGCTGCTGAAGGGACATCAACTGTGTGTGTCTCCCAAACTTACTTGACTGTAGAGCACTTCTAGATGAGTCGTCTTCCCGCCGTATTTCTGGAAACCTTACTTAAGAGCGTGTCTCCCCAACTTGTGCGCGTGCATGCCAGTCACCTGGAGGGCTTGTTAAAAAGTAGATGGGCCCCGACCCTAGAGTGTCCCCATGTCTCACAGGGTCCCGGGGGGTGCTGATGGGACGGGCCAGGGCCCACACTTTGAGAACCACTCATCTAGACTTACCTCTTTAATTTGCACGGAAGAAAAGAGACAAACCAAAGGGTATTTACTAAAAATAGTGACCA